AAAAAAAGGGACAATGCCACGAGATATAAGTAAACACCAAGCACTGCTGATTATAATCAACCAATCTATTATTGTCACTATAACCTGTTTTTGTTCCTTATTTCGTTACTAAATATCAACACCATACGTCGATATAAATTGAGCAGTCAACTAGGATTTTTTATTCCTCATAACAATTCTATCCGTAATCTCGGATTTTATTAACACAATATACCCACATGGCTGACAATGGCAATTTTATTTGCATAATATCAACAAGCAGTGTCAAATTCATTTATGCAAAACAGAGTTCGAAACACTCCCCAATAGTCTTCTAAAGGATGTGAAACCGAAATCGGTGTTGTATTTTTTGATTAGGGGGATCATTTTTCTTAAAAAATCAAAGCTGTATTCCCTATCCCCATCACCACAAACATCCTTTTAAAGATCGACGTTAACCCACTCTTCGAAACCACTCCAAAGAGGACCTTCTATATGATACCATTAGCCACTCTCTCATGCCATTAAACTTGTAAGCCATGTACAGTGGTCTGCATGTTACTTTCTTTTCTCCACATGAATGCCCATTAGCAGCTAGGCTTCAATGGATAAGAAACGCTCTGGCAGCTGGGCATGGTGCGTCTGTCTTACATGAAATGATTCTTCTCCAGACCGGCTGGATCTTCTGTCTTTATACGCTATGGCAGGAAATGGGCAAGTCTAGGCAACCCACATCCCTTCCTCTCCCGCGGTCCTTCTCTACACCTGCCCTTCCAGGGGCCTACCAACTCACTTCCACTGATTCAGCCGCAACAATCCCTCACCCACCCTCCCTCTTCCGCTGACGTCGCATGGGCACCTGGCTGCCCACCTCCAGAATCCATCCCCATCTGTAATCCCGCCTCCTCCGCGCGCCCTTCCTCCCTCGGTCCTCTAATTAGACAGTTGACAATTAGTCTCTCTCTCTCTTTTGGCGATCTGTTTAGAGGTGGCTGAAATACAACCTTCTTTCTCGCCTCTCCCGCAGCTTGCACAGCCAACCTTCAATACTCTTTCCTCTACTCTCTCGCTCTATAAACACCCCAACGAATATTAACTATTTACATAAACGTGAATTACCCCTTACAGAACTTTTACGATTAACCTCCAACCATATATACATACGAAACAAAATATAAATAAACTAGAATAGAAACACACAAATCCTTATACTTCTTTCCCGCACCACTCCCCGATTCATCTTGTCACCCTCATCATCCTTCCCCCCACCCCCCCCGCCCCCCGCTTTCTCTTCCTTCTCACAATGAATATATCAACGCATCAAGATTGAAGAAGAAATATATAATAAAGAAAAAAATAAAACGATATCTGTAAAAATATGCATTATCATACCATCGAATGGACAAAACAAATAAATATAAGTAGTTTCTTAAAAATATACAATATAAAGAAAACTAAATGAAACAATCAAGAAAAAAACATGATATGATTGAGGATATATTAGATTAACAGAAAAAAACTTTTCACTGAAAACCACCAACCACTTCACTGTTAGTCTTTTTACTTGAATCATATTTGCATAATAATAATTTGGAACACAGTGTATATGATCAATGGGGGGATGTATTACAGTCAGAGGATGTTTGGGAGTGAGTAAAGACATTGTTGGTCAGCCAGACATTTCACTGTCTTACACACTGTTTGTGTTGGTATACACCCTGTCAAGTGTCTGAGCTTCTGTCTGTCTGATTTCCAGCTCTTCCCACTGCATGTCCAAGTTTCCTTGAGGACGATAAGGAACCCCAATTTCTCACAATGCTATGCATCGTGTATGAATGAGTATTGGTTTCTGTTTGAGCTGCCATCACTGACTGAATGTATGTGAATGGGTGATGGCATTTAGTATAAAACACTTTGAGTGGTCGGAGGACTAGAAAGACGCTACACAAGTACATTCCATTTAGCATTTATTGCAGTCTGAACACATAAACACACACACAGTTTCATGTGCTCACACTCTGATTTACTCTTCACCCTCATACTCAAATGCCAGCTGGCCGTACTTCCTGCCTGATCATGAGTGTGATTAACTTCCCCCAAGTGTGCGCAATGTTCATTTAGCTGAAGCGCATCATTAATGTCTGTGTAGAAACAGGTCTGAGTGGAAAAGTTTTCATCAAATGCTGTTGCCATGATGACTCATTATTTGCCATGAAACAGTGTACATCAGCCCCAAATTTCCTGGGGTGATCACAGCACCTGCTGTTGTGAGCTGGATGGATCATCTCGAAATCCACTGCTTCTTAATTTGTGTTATATTTCTGTTATAGGTGTTTAAGCAGTAAAGCCAATGTTGAATTGCATTTGTCTGTGCTTGAATTAGTCTGTGGAGATTAAAAACATTTGAGCTTGCTCTGAATGTTTTTGCCAGTAAGCACCATCATATGAACAATCTAGATCCAATTTCCATTTGTGTTTTGTAAGAGGTCATACAATTATTGTTGAGGATACTTTAAATAGCTGACGTTAGACCTCTGGTCTGCAAGTAAAGTACTGACTAACTCTTTCTCTTGTGGGGTCTCCTCCGGTATGCCAGGATATCTATTAGTTGACTTTTGATCCAGTGTCTGATTTGCAAATACTTAAACAGTATGTTTAGTATGTTGTATGTAGAGGCATGTTATATTTACGGGACAGTTACTGAAAACTAAAGAATACACCTTCTTTGTATTAGATCCTTAACTATGTTAATTCTGTTATCACCCAACCTTTGAGTGTCTGCTTTGGAATTTGGGACAATTAGGTTGTTCCATAGTGGAGTGTTTTTAAATAGTCACCTTTTAAATTCAATATGAAGTGAAATGGGCCTTGTAAGGTTGGTCGAGTGGTGAAGGCAGGAAGGAAGGGACCTTTAAACTGTTAAGTCAGTCCAAATTTCTTTATTTCCCTTTTTTTTACAGCATGGATCAATGCATCGTATTTACAGTGAGCATCAGCTTGGCCCAAATCGAAGAAAACAACAAACTTAATAAAAATTAAAACAAATAAAAAGCAACTAGGGGAAAAAAGATTGAGATATCTAAAAATACATAAAAGTCAACTCTGGTAGCCAACTATCCTTGTGGCCTGCTCATCAACATCATCTGGCAAAACTATACCCCTGGGAGAAACTTTAACTCCTGCTTACATATATATTGTTACTTCTCCTACCCCAGGAAGTACAATTAAGGAACCGATTAACTTATTAAACTCATTACACATATTAAGTAAACTAGATCCCAAACATCTCCTAAACTTCCCCCTCACCTATAACACTCTTAGCACATCCCCCAAGGAACCTGACCATAAAAGGAGTTCACATGGGTGAGGACTGGTTTGGAAGTTCCTGGGTCCAATTCAGAAGATAGTCAGGTGCAATCTAGAGGAGAGGTGAGAAACACAAAATTAATCAAATAAAAATGTTCTCATGTATCTCAATGCACACATAATATAATTATCATTAACATGTTTCAACCTGGTGGTCACGTGATGATGCCGAGCAAGATGGCTGCTTAGGCTGGAAGCTGCGCCACCACCAGTTTACATTTTGTGCGAATATATAGGCATTCGCTTTTTATTTCATTGGTTTTTTTCTCACAAGTTGCCGATTACAAGCTTCTCCCACTATCGATATGCCAAATCCCCGGAAAAATGATAATGCGTCTCAACAACAGCAAAGCGCCAGGGCTACCGCTAGCTCAAAAGCTACCCACACCTCTCCTGTATCGCCAACGCGGGAAGACGCGGATGAGTCCTTCTCCACCGCTAAAATACACAAGCTTCTTCAGAAACTATCAGACGACCAAGCCAAACACTTTGCAGACATCCACAAGGACGTCTCAGAAACGAGAAGAGCTGTCGAGGCAATTGAGGGTAAGCTAGCCGACATGCTAACCAGGATGACTAGCGCTGAGGCTCACCTTGATATGCTAGAGGAGGTGGAGAGGCAGCGCTGCGACTCGCCCCCGGCTTTGACTTCTGAAGTTGAAAAACTGAACGCCAAACTAACCGAGTACGAGGACCGGGAAAGGCGAGTCAATTTAAGCATTTATGGTTTCCCGGAACGTGTCGAAGATAAAGATGCCTTATCGTTTTTGAGGGCTACTCTCCCCGAAATCCTTCAGGCTGACTTCCAAGGGGGCCTAGATTTGGAGTGTGCTCATCGGTCGCTATTACCAGCTAAGCCTGGAGCCCCCCCAAGGCCCTTCATCGTGCAGTTCCTGAGGTTTCAACAGAAGGAATGAGTGAGACAACTTGCTAGAGAAATCGGGGACGTCCGCTGGCAGAACCATA